AAGGCCGGGCTCCCGGGACGACTGCCGCCTCGGGGTCATAGTTGGCCGTTGATGGGGCCGAAAGGACAGATGTCTGGCACAGCTGGGCGATCACACCTTCGGGCAGAAGCAGTGGAAATGACGCCTTCTCGGCGGTTTGCAGTCGGCTCGATCGCCTGAGGATGGAAACTGGCCACGGCAACTAAGGGGACTCGCGTGCCAGGCGCGATTGGGGCAGAATCACCCAGCAACAGGGATGTATGCCTTTTTGTTGTTCTTCCTCACGCCTCTATCATGCACTGGTGTCCATGTCGGTCTGTTGCCGTCTGCTGGTTGCCTCGGTCAGGCAGTCGTCTGTGCACGTTTGACCAGCAGGTCTGTCGGGCTGTTGGTGTTTCACCATCCGATCGGGGCTTGTTTACTCTTCAAGTGTCCTCGAGGGGTGCACGAAGCCAGCCGTAATCGGTAGGCTCAACCCAGCTTCGGGTGTGCCGGCCATGCTCGGCTCGGCCAAGGCCATTTGGGCAGCAGATGCGACAGATCGTGTCTGACGTGTTGACAAGCCTGGCCGGCACGGTAGCCGCCAGCTAGGCGCACCGACATGCAGCCAGTGCTGACAGCTTCGGGCAGAAGAAGAATCCTGCCTTCAGAGTGAGCTTTCGGTGGCAGACTTGTCAGTGGGCAGAAGCGCAAGATTGGGGCCAAGTTGAGCTGGTCAGGCCAACTTTTGCCCTCCAACCAATCGCTGGCCAGATCTCTTTAGAGTGTTAAACAGCCACGCATGTTTATGCTCGAGGGTGTATTTTGGGCCAACGGTCAAACTGAGAGAGAATCTTGTCTCTGGCACGCCAGCCAAGTGGCCGAGTGTGGGAGCGAAGGTACAACTGAGGCAGGCAGACGGAATTTTATGAGGCAGTAACTGTGGCTGTTTGTTGTTTACCAAACCGAGACAAGTTTTCATCACCTTCTGAGGCCTTTTTCACCATGCATCTGCTGACGATAGCCTAAGTTTATGCAGATGGACCAATCTCTAGATGGTACCTAATCAAACTTTCTCTGAGCCACGTGTCAACTCACTTGTTGTCCGTTGTGATGATGTCGAAAAAATAAACTATTCAGGAAATTGTAACGATCTGGTGCTGCATCCTGAAGAAAGTCAACCAAGCGTTAAAAACAGTTGCCAGTTTATCGAAGAAGTCCTCGATAGGCAAATGAGTAAGGAAGAGATGATACGATGAAAATTACGAACTAGCTCAGGTGATGCTCAAGACTGCGTTTCCGAGGCTACAACCGGGCTTCAGAGCAATTTTAGCCCATCCAGATTGACAAGAGTTCAGAAGCCTCTCATAAGGACACATGTAGTTTATAGATGAGCCCTAGCAAGGTTATTAATTAACAAGTGGATTTGGAACAGATTGTGCAAACTCATGCTCTAATGTAGATACGAAGAGCAATTGATTTCGATTAATCGTCCGACAGAACCTGATTGAGGAGACCTTCATTTCGTATGAATGTGTATGAACAAGATATTCGTATGTCAATCTAACCAGAAAAGGACGGATGAATCCCGTTGTACTAGACCTGTTTGGCTGTTATACGACGCTCAGGTTGACGCAGTCCATGAGACCTCCTCTCTCGTTTCGGGTGAAAACGGGCTGAGATTTCGTCCATCATATGATGAACATCATCAGAGATGGGTCTCATTATTATATAGACTTAATTAAGCAAAATAACATTAAAAACCCAGATAGATATAGAGTGTTTGGCTAATTATCTTTCATACTGGTCCTGCTACTTTTGCTCAACTGTGTGCGTGTGTGTATGTGTGTGTGCTAGCGCCTATACGCAATACCGGTCCTAAATCAGAGTTATCAAAATACTAATGTCAGGCTCTGATCATCAAGACTTAATGACCCAAGAGAAAGCCCTGACCTAGACTGCGTAAGTCCGTAAGCAAGTATGGTTGAGATAATGAGATATGAGCTTGTAGGCTTGTAAGTCAAGTTACGAAACCATTTGTCCTACAAGTCCCTTTGACAAGTTGCTGTATGGTGCTCAGGATGGA